TATATATATAAATATATAAAAACAGTGATCTTATGATATATATATATATATATATATATATATATATATATATATATATATATATATATATATATATATATATATAGGGTGCGATGTGTAATTTTTTGTGACTTTATATCTTTATAATTATAGTTTTATATTTTGAAAATAGCGCATGCGCGTTATTCTTTTTATCGATAGCCCAGTATATTAGGGTCAGCTGGTCACCCTCTGTGAGAAAAGGAACAGCATGACACGATTTAGTACTTGGCATTCGCGCCGGAAGCTCCAATACGAACACAAGTGTTTGGTTGCCAACCTGTGGACAGTACAGAGGGTTCGGAAAGAGTCGGATGAGTTTAATGGTGATTACAAAGGTGTTTGAAGCAATCACTAGTGATGGAGATATTATGCCTTCAGTCTTCTTCCCAAAGTGCCTCATACTCAACACGGTGCGTATATCGAGTGCCTTGACGAACTAATGCTGCCCTGGATCAAGAGGGTGACAGCTAGAAGACACTATGTCTAGCAACAGGATTCTGCACCGTGCCATACTAGCAGGAAAACCCAGTTATGGGTGTCAGACAATTTCTGTGACCACATCAGCCCTTACATCTGGCCACCTAACTCTCCAGGCTTCACCCCCCTCTTGATTATTATGTTTGAGTCGCAGAGACCGACAAAACTCCTTGTAACACCAAAAATGACCTGAAGGCAAGAATTATGGCAGTATTCACCAACTTAAACAATGAAAGCGTTCAGAAGAATTGCAGAAGATTCCGAACACGTCTGGAGGTCTTGGTTGAAGCCAGTGACGATTTTATTACTCTTTAGTACTTTAAGATATTTTTGTGTAATTTTGTTAAATACGTAAATCTGTTAAAACGAGAATTCAGTGTTATTTTCATATTTGCGTAAATTTATCCATCGCAACCTAAATGTGAGTGTGTGTGTGTGCGCGCGCGCGCGCGTTCGCGTTCTTGACCACTTCCCGTACAAGATTTCTATATAGGATTATCCTATAGAAAACTCCTGTACAGGAAGAGAGTATTTCATATGAAATACGTCTGATATAAGGACTTCATTTATTATGTGACAAAATCAGGTTACATTGATTTTGACCATCACTATAGGAGACATCATATTCAACAATTTCCTCTTATACTAAATGAGAATGAGTGATCAAATGCTTAATTTGATCAGAACCCTTTCTAAACTCTCCTCCTTAAGTTCATTGTATTAATATTTCAGTCTCATTTATATTTTGGGGCGTCAAGTTAAGTGCGATAGATTATCAAGGATATTGCTATTATAATTGATTTTTCTTGTTTCTTCTTTTCATGATTAATTCTTATTTTTATTGACTTTTTTTCGCAGCAGAAATATCGACAGAAAATACCAGAATTCCTTCAGAATGTTGTCTCTCCACAGAATCTTTTTTCTTTATTATCTGAATTAACATGCATCCTTGGAAAATATAGTGGAGTGGTTTCCCGTTGCCATCTCCCTGGTTTGGAATTCAAATCTTTCTTTCTTTTAAACGTGTTGCCACCCAATGCTAGAGAGTCTAGTCTACCCAGCTATTAAACATTTAGTTTATTCATGGGAGAAAAAAGTCGGATTTATATATTTCCCGAGCACATTTATTCATAATTTAACTGTTTTGTTCGGAATTTAAACGATACCAATTTACGAGCTGATGTCCGTTGCACAATTTAATCAATATACTTTATATTTTTTATAATTTTATTCCCTTCTCCACGTTTTGTTATTATTTCTGTGCTAAAGAAAAACAGACCTTTATAGAAATTGTCACAAATTATTCATAACGTTATGTTCATTGACCTAAAAATTGTAGCAGATATTTTTCTTAATGTGGACGAGGGACAAAGAAAATATTTTGCCTAATTTAAATGCCCTCTTTGAAGTTAAATATTGAGTTTATTTGAAAGAGAACCTAAAGTTGATTCGTACAAAAAGAAAAACAGTTTTATACTTTTAAATTTATTAGATATTTTTAAAACATAAAATGTAATACAAACTCACTTCCACCCAGTTACATTACCTAATTTAATGGATACCGACAAAAGAGACATTAAAATAATTTTTAAATATTTTTAAAATCCAGTGTCTGTTCCAGACATTTATTTCAAAGAAAATTAATAAATTTAATTAGGACTATTTACTTACTTGTTGTTTAAATTATAACGGAAATATATTTTCCCCAGTATGGTATGTTCCCGTTACTCAATACATTCAAGGTCAAATAATTATTTTCTTCTGACACTGCTCCTTATTTTCAAAAACTGGCGCCATAATATAAATACAATAAAATACAGAAGACGAATCTATTAGAAAACTTTGTGGAAATATTTTTCAAGTCAGTTACAAACCGTTAACCAATTAATTGCTTTATCAGCATGATTAAATTAGTTTACCCTTTCAATAAATTTTAGTGACCCTGTTATTTTATGTCAGGTCATGTTTGTAAAATGAAAAAAAATACATTAAACATATTTAAATATATGTCCACACTCAAAAATGGCATTAAATTTAACACTCTGCTATTTTTCAAACACATTTATTTTATATCAAGTTTGTCAGAAACGACAATGATTTAGTTTTTAAATCGTACTTCAAAATGCATATTTGTCTTTCTCAAACAAATAAACATCAGAGGTTTTTTTTTATCTTCGTGGATATAAAAAATACAGTATATTTTATTACAATTATGTAACAACAACTCTAAACAAAAAATAATTTTTGAGTTTTCTTAAATTCTTTTAAGTTCTTGAGAGATATAGTTGCGGCGTATTCTCACTTGATATTATTTTTTAATAAAATATAACACCTTCGGATATTTAGCTTTAAAAAAATTTAAACATTATGAACAACTAAAATTCACTAATACTATTGATGAAATAAATTGGTTGTATAAATGATCAAAGATAAAACTTCTACAAAACTTAAAATAAAAAAAAAGAATTAATATAAAGCGCCTTCAGTGTAAATTCAGTGAAATCCGATAATTCCCCGAATTTTGGTTAATTTTTAAAAACTTAGAGGTTTGGGGTTTTTTGTCACGTCTCGAAGGGATGCATGATATTGAAGGTAATATGCGTAGCTTAAAAAATGGACAACTTAATATTTGTCTTCGGTGCCAACAGTAGTGCAGTGGTCATCTAACCTCATCTAATAAACTATTAGTTTAATGAGTTTGTTCTTAATTGAAGGTTTAATTTCGCTGTCCTTGAACCAGTCTCAGGAAAGCGATGGAAACGTCTTTCTTTTATTTCGCCCGAAAGGAATTCACCTCAGATCCCGAGAAGGCAATGCATGAATTTCATTTATAATCTTTATTATTGCAACCCTGTTACGTTTCTCACCCATCTTCAGTGTAATCTTACGACCTTTCTGTACACGACCCCAACGCAACGACGACGATTCACGGCAAATGGCTAATAAATTCCCCGTTTTAGTTCGGCAACGAAAGCTTCGTAGAGAGGCGTTTTCCATGCGTGCCAGTTTCGACCTTTTCCCCCTGTTTCTCTGTTGGTGGCCAACGGGTTTCTTACTCGCAGATAAGTAATAAACAGACCATCCAATTCTCGCCCTGCACGAAACCATTGACAGAAAGTCTTTTTTTTCTCTCTGAATGCACTTCGTTCTCTCTTTCTCACCCTCGCTCGTTCACACACTTTACACACACGCGCGCGTGCGCACTAACATAAATAGACAGATTTTTATGGCAGATTAATATTCTCGACGCGCTGGTAATACCGAAACAAAATGGGACTTTATTATTAATGTTGCAATAGAACTGTCTCAGACAAGTTTGATTCAAAAGAGATAATTGCTTTTTGATACACTCCTCTTTGTGTACATAAGAGAGAGAGGGGGAGAGAGAGAGAGAGAGAGAGTGCACGCGCACACACGAAAATATATTTTAATGTCTATATATGTATTTATTTTACTTATTCTATATACGTACCAAACTATTGTTTAACCTTAAGATATCGTTCTATTTATTAAGGAAATAATAGTTTTTTTCCTCCTTGACTGGAAAATGTATTAATCACCCTGTGTCATGTTATTACAGGCAACTTCATAATGACATCCTCTCATGAAAGAGATACTCTTGTTGGTTATTGCTGTATTTCAGCGATGTGATTTTTCTTTAAGAGAATAAATAATAACCTGAATAAGGATTTTCCCGCCAAACTCTAAAATGTTTTACTTAGTAAATAAATGTGCAGTTTAGTGTTTGTACGGAAGTCATACATTAAAGTGATTAACATAAACAATCTGCTGTATATTATATTTCTTGCTTGATTTGTATTGTTTTCAACATGGTGTTTATTCTTACGTCTTAAAACTTTGATTATTTTCAAGTAACTGCTGCTTTCATAGCTCAACCATACCATGGATCAAAATCATCAAAATTGCAAACAACATTTCGATCATTTAAATTACCTTCGCCATCAAAGGAACGATTTCTTACAATTTGACCTAGATTTCTACCTTTCATAAAATAGCAAAAAAATGTCGAAAATCCTGGTTATTTTCTTTTATCTATCTATCTATCTATCTATCTATCTATCTATCTATCTATCTATCTATCTCTTAAATGCATTAAAGGCTAGCTACTCTTTACATAAACCTGCCATTGTTAGCTTTGATGGGAGTCAGTCATCTGTATTTATATACACTGACGAAAACCAAAATCTTATGTCACGAGCTTAATGAGTTGTTCCTTCACCAAAACAACTCTCACCAGATAAGGTTGGATTCTACAAGATTTCTAAAGAATTTATCTGGGATTTGATGCCAAAATGATAAAAACATTTACTTTACATGTTGCGGTGTATACAATAAAAGTTTTACTGATAGAATTTGTTGCTCCATTATATACAATAAATGCACATGAGAATTCAGATGGTGGGAGTTTGATTGCCTGTGAAATATCTTTCATGCTAGCCCTCTTACAACTCATATAGTGTAGCAAGACGCATTTCCCTATTGCAAGCTGCTACTGATATCGTAGAAGGAACGGTATACATAATGTTCAACCACATTTCATATTAATTATAAGATTACCGTTACCTAGCAGAACTTTCTTCAGTGGAACAAAGCATCCTGGTGACATTACGTTCAACGGTTAAGGAAGCACTCATATATTGTCGTCAATTTTTTAAAGGGAAAAATAGTCTCCTTGGGCCATTAATACAAGTTCCAGCACAGACGATTCCGTGATAATTGCATATGTTTTCGGCAATTGATATTGTACAATGACCATACACAAGAAGGACTAATAAGTGACGCATTCTTCCTTCACCTTGCTCAAGGATCTCGACAATCTGCGCCATAATAGCCTTTCTGTTTTCTTGTAGCACAAACTGTACTTGGCAGAAAAACTTCCATTCACTTCTCCCAAAAAATCGAATCAAATCTTGACAAACCACACCTTTAAACCAGTTGATGATTTTTAACCTACTTGGACCACTGACAATAGTTATATATCCTAACACTATGAGAGCTGGATTTATAAGATCTGGTATTAATTTTATATATAAACTCTTAAATAAACGATCACAATTCATTTACAGATATAGAAACGAAAAAATTTGCTATATATATATATATATATATATATATATATATATATATATATATATATATATATATATGTGTGTGTGTGTGTGTGTTGCTCTCTATATATATACATATATATACTCACACAAATATATACACATCTATACAGACACACACACACTTACATACGTACATGGATGTAAGGCCATATGAGATAGGTTTATTGTAGGATTAGACAAAAATGATATGAAGAGAATAATAGCAAAGTTTTAAGAAGTACATTTGCAAAATAATCAATTGTTAATTCGAAATAATAAAAACAAACGAGAATTTTGTTCCAATAATTGACTCCGGGGATCATCGGCCATAGTCAATGCTGCTTGACATCCAATAATGAATTATTTCTCGCAACGGAACGTGGGGCAAAGTGAAATTAACGAAAAAATCAATAATCGAGGGATGGTGGGATTTATGATTAAATGTAACATCGGAAAATCGGAACGATTGTGGATTATAGATGGTGTTCTCTATCGGCCAGATTTGTCCGCCTCTCTTACGAATCGAATAGATCCTCCCTAGTAAGAAGTGCCTAGCCAGGATTAAAATTTGTGTGAAGTTCATTTGATGAAAATCTTGTTTTTGTTTTGTTTAATATAATTTGCATTTTGGAAAGTTTTTGACAAAATTGTTGATTTGTTTCATGACAAGCAGGAAAGACAAATGATAAAGAGGAAATTATTTATTGAAAATATGGAATTACCCAAAAAAGCAGTTTTTCTTTGAGTGATAAGATAATATCTGAGAACATAGGCAAAACCTTTATCCTTATTAGAGTATTAACAGTCAAACAAGATTGTTGCCTTCTCGTATTATTTCAGCTGTTTTTATTAAAATTGCATAAGCTAATAAATTATTCCTATCATATTCTTATCTAATCAGTAATGACTTTATAACCATTAAAATATAATTTGCATTTTCAAAGTATTTCTATAATAAAATAATTAGCAATGCATTTACATGATATCTATAATTGCCCTATTCTTTCTGTAACTATTGAATGAATTCCTAATAAATGACACTCTCTTTCTTTCTCATTTGCAATGAATGTCTATAGTAAAATCATTTACTGTCTATTTGTGCATCTATATATGTATCTATGTATCTATCTATCTATCTCTATCTCTATCTCTCTCTATATATATATGGATAGATGGCCATTCATATACGGAGATGCCCGTCTACTAAAGCGACTAACCAATCCATGTTGCAGACGCCCGGTCAGAAACATTTGTATTTGTTCAACACCCACTGAAACCATTTTGTGTGTGTGTCCGTTACGCTGACATTAATTGCTGAGCATAGGCAACTAATTTCTTTAGAATGTTTAAAAAAACGTATACACAGTGAGAGATGTAATTTACTTTATATAAAATTAATCCCAAAATTCAGTGTTTGATAATCATAATTTCATTTTTTCGAACTAGAAATGTATGGTTACTTATTGTAAAAAAATATCTCAATCTGTAGCGGGTGGTTGTATTGTAGCAGTAAATTATTTGAACTGAGATTGTATCAAAGGAACAAGTGCAGTCAGTGCAGATTTTTGTTGTAGCATTTGTTTAAGAAATTCTACCTGTGATATCAAATACTGACACCTGCAATAGGTTGGTACTTGATTCAATTTGATCACATGGTATTTTAATCGGAAATATGTGATTGTGTTTGTGATTCAGTCAAGATATTTTTATCTACTCTTTTTGGTCATGCACATTAATTATGATTTCTATTGTTAACGCTCTGCAGATATTTTACTTTCTAAGAACTGTCTGCATTTGCAAAAATAATGTAGTAAAGACAAACAATAAAACAGGTTTTGCATTTTGATTTCTGATTCAGCGACTCTGAAAATAGTTTACGTGTCTAGCAAACACCGCATTTGATAATTTAATATGACAAACAAAATCTTTGCAAGTTTCCCATTGTTAGAATTATATAAGATTTCTTTGTTTATTGACTTACTCATTTTTCATTTCTTCGTTCCGAAAAAATTATTATTCTCTTTCATTCTTTCCACCAGAAGGTTATAAAAGTATTCACATACAGTGTGCGTGTGTGTGGGGGGGGGGACAAGTATTTATACACATACAATTTTTAATTTATTGTATTCCCAACTAATGAATAAACACACGTTTCATATAATTAACTGTACACGAATACATAATAACTAAATATGCATAGAAAACAGAAAAAATTGATTTAATAGAAATAAATCCCATTTATCTATTTTAATGGGTGAAAAAAGTATTCGTACAATGCAAATTTCAGTTTTTAAAATTTTCAAATTGCTTTAATACTCTAGATTATTCAAGTGGAATATTCTAGAACGTTCCAATAAGGTAATCAGTAGTTATGTTTAGCCTAAAAAAACACAAACAGAACATTCTGTAATTTATATTCATGCAAGAAGTTTATCATCATGACAAGAGCTAAAGAATTGGCAAAATAGCAAAACAAAAAAAGAAAAAAGAAAAAAAAACACTGATTGTGAAGCTCTGGGAAGAAGGTAAGAGCTACAGGAAAAATCTCAGACAACCTAAATATTCCATTTACTACAATTGGTTCATTCATTGTCAGGTATAAAAAAAAAAGGTCAAAACTGTTGAAAACCAAAGAAAACCAGGTGCTTCACGAAAGATTTCTTCAAGATCTTCGAGGAAATTAATGCGTCAAATTAAACAAAAACCAGTTGTTACTTGTCAAGTGTTGTACGTTGGTTTGCTTTCATCGGGAATCTATGTCACTAAATGGACAATAAGCAATAAAATTCATAGGAACAATCTAAAGTCACGCTCCCATTGGAAAACTCCATTGCTATTGTAAATGTCAGATTAAAATTCGTTCGTGAGTATAGGGATAAGGAAAAAATCGTATTGGAAAAGGCTATTATGGACATACGAAACCAAAACTGAGTTGTTTGGACGTAATTCTAGAAATTATGTATGGAGGAAAAATGGCGATGTCTTCAAGCAAAAGAAAACAGTTCCTCAATAATTTATTCCATTCACACAATTTCTTCCATTCACACAATTTCTTCCATTCACACAATTTCTTCATTAATTTATTCTTCTTTTATGATGTTTACACGTTCACATATCAATATCAGTTCATTGCGCCATTTATTTCTCACTGGCCTTTGCTTCAGTCCTTGAATTCAGTTAAACAGGGTTTTATTTTATCGTTCATTTACAAGCACATCATTCTATTTCCCTTTCTCTTGTAAGCATTTATTCAGTTATTGATTCATAAAACTCGTTTATTGCCTAAAAAATTCTCATTCTTTTTTATTTATCATATTTACGTGATGTCACTTGGAACGTAGTGACAATTTCAGCAGACAAAATTCACTTAGAGCCTCTGAATTTTGAAAATCTATGAAAGTGGTGGTACAATATTTTGTAAGGTACTTACGGAGAGAAACTACTAAAGTAATCATGAACTCAAAATGTTAGTTTCTCGATTTATAATATAACTTATAATAATATATATATATATATATATATATATATATATATATATATATATATATATATATATATATATATGTATGTATGTATGGGGTATGTTGATTATTATATTTAAATTGAGATAGAATACGAAATTACAAGTGATAGAATGATAGAAATGTTTTCAAAAGAAAAGATACACCCACAGTATATATATGTATGTATATGTGTGTCTGTGTCTGTGTGTGTGTGTGTTTGTGTTAAATACAGATTTACATACTCATAATGTTCTCGGCTTGTTTCATCAGAATTTCCGAGTGGAACTTGTTCTTAGTCGGGTTAAGAACGGTACGCCCCTGCCACACCTCGTGTATTTTGTGTTTCTTGTGTTGATTCGTTCCTACGTAAGCGAAAGTGATTTTTCATAGTAATGCAACGGGCGAGTTTAAATGTTCGATTCTGGATTAGAACCAGAAATTAGTGTCTCATTTTTAGAGAAGGGTTAGGACCTCTCTCTTATTGAAATGCACATTGAATAATTCTAGCGTTTTATATCCATCTTTCTCCCTCTCTCTCCCCCTCTCTCTCCCCCTCTCTCTCTCCCTCTCTCTCTCTCTCTCTATATATATATATATATATATATACACACACACATATATATATATATATCGGCTTGATGTCCGTTTGGCTGATTTTACACACGCACACACACATATATATGTATATCAGTGTGTATGTGTGTGTATGTATATATATATATATATATATATATATATATATAAGGACAGTAGAATTTTTTCTCTGCCGACGTTTTTCATCTTTTGAACTTTATCCAGGCAAATGTAAGGATTTTATATAATTATATTAGATCTTATATTATAAAATTATATTGAATATTATATAGAATATTCAAGTATTTTAAAATATATAAAATCTTATATTATCAAATTTTATAAAATACCTACATTTACCTTGACAAAGTCCATCAGAGGACGAAACAGGTCGGCAAAATTAAGTTTTCCTTTTGTCTTTATTCATATTTCCTTTTCCAGATATATGTTAGTTATACATGAATTTTTGCATATATATATATATATAGATAGATAGATAGATAGATAGATAGATAGATACAACCTACTTCATGCACGTACACACAAGCTTCTATATACGAGATTGTAAATATCCTATATTTGCCTTTGTGTGTGTGTCATTAAAAAATGTAAGTACTTATCCATTTTTTGTCTCACTAAAAGTTACATGTTAAAATCCAAAGCATAGATGCGTGCGTACATGCACACACACACACGCACGCACGCGCTCCTCCGTATGTGTGTGTTTAAGGGTATTATCTGTAGAGAGGATTGTTTTCGAAAGATATTGGCAGCGAGAAAATGATATCTGTTTATATGTCATCAGTTGTAAGTGCGTGCGATAGTCCAAGACTGTCGCAAAAAATAAAAATCCATGACCAATTCACTTTAGTGGATTTCCCTGTAGCCTTAATTTCCGAGAGTCGATAGATTGATGGCATCCCAGGGTAGAGGACAGCAAAACTTGGCACAAATAGATAAATAAATAACAGTGTATAAACCAAATCTATCTCCAGTTTCTCTTGCGATAAAAACCTAATTCGCCCGGACACGAAACTACGACTACTTCTGCTGTTCTTCTTACGCGTTTCCAGCAAAAAAGAAAAAAGTGCGAGCCATGTCTCAGTTTAGAGGCTTGAGCATCGGTTGACCGATTTTACATGTACATTAATGTACAGACTGCATGAAAATTGCGACCGAAAATTTCAAGGCAAAACTGAAACCTTTGAAGCGAACTTCTAATGAACTCTGACTACCAGCAGAAAAGGGAAACTTCGACACAATTTCAGCTATTGGATTTATCGTCAGGTACTTAGGCAGTATAATTTTCATTCTCAGAAAAAGGTCAAAGTAATTTAATGGGAATTTAGCGTAAAATAACTTTAGTAAGAGGGAAGATTTAGTCTACACAATTATAAGCTTAAATATATGATTAGAATTGGAACTCATATTTTGTGCATCGCATTTTATTAGTTTACGACCATGTCATACGATCGCTAATATTAAGCAACGTTGGGCCTTGGGAATATCAGGTGCTGCAGGCTTGGATGTGCGAGTAGTGTGATGGGTGAAGAGATTTCGGCGAGCCGTGTTTGTTTACATTCATCTACGGCCAAATGGGTTAAGTACAGAGCAAACTGGTTAGCCTTGGTTGGCAACCAAACAACCAAGAAAGTAACGGTAGCCTACTGTGGGAATTCTGTCAAGTCAACAATGAATCGAAAACAGGCATGATCACCCAAGCGTACATCACACATGACACCTAAGGAAGGATTTTTTGAGTGAGTTCGTTATATAAAGATCGTCGGCTGCTCAAGCGTTAAATGCAATAAATGTGTTTATTTATGTAACTCTAGAATAGTTGCAGTGTCGGAGTTATGATTTAATAGCTTATCGTTGTTTTCTTATTAAATATAAAGACATTACGTATATATTTACAATGAGAAATGCCGTATCAAAGGTGTTTTCCTTGTTATTATAAGTTATAGACATTTTTTTGACTTAACCCCTTTCTCAAAATCAAGCCGAATGGCTAAACATCAGAATTAAAACATAAATGTTTGGAACTGAAATATTCAGTATTCGCTCGTATTTTGACGTCATATATTCAAAGTAATGGATTTATGAAGCGCTTTACATAAAGACTGTTAACCGCTTTTTTCTTAATAAAACTTTAATATTCTTATTCTTCGCTCTTTCACTGTCGATATCATCGTGGCAAAATTTTATCTATAAATCAGATTTATAAACATGGAAATGTTTACTAAAATGTTTATGTTTATTTTGTATTAATCAAATCTTGATTAACAGAAAGCATATTTTTCGGAGTTACATTATATGTCTTTTGTTATGTGTAAGAAACATGGTTAACATACACACAGAAAATTAGAGTAATTTGTATATAAATGTATTCTAACACTTAGTTTACACTGTATCTTATGTGTGTGTGTTTTTGTTTTTTGTCTTTTGTGAGTGGGTTTGTGTGTGTGGGTGCGTGCGTGTCTGAATGTGGGTGGGCGCGTTTTTTGAGTGTGTGAACGGGCCTGACTAAGAAAAGATTTTAAAAAGTATGACGCTTAGTCATTTTGCCAAATTTTAGAAATTTCAGGAAGTGGATCAAGCCGAGACTTTTCACATTACCACTCGTCTATTCTTTTCTCTCTCTATTCTTTCTCTCTCTCTCTCTCTCTCTCTCTCTCTCTCTCTCTCTCTCTCTCTCTCTCTCTTGTTCATTTCTCTCTCATTCATAACCTTTCTCCCTTCTTCCCCCCCCTCTCTCTCTCTATCCAAAATCATATTATCTTTGCAGACATGAAATAAACAATACTCAAGTTTTTAAAAAATCTAAAATCAGGAAATTATCGGCTGTCATTGATATTTTCAACATGTATTTAGTAAAAAAAAAAGATCTTTATACTGAATCGTATTTTTTATATTTTGCGGAATTATTTTTATAGAGGTCAGTTGTACCCACATTTATTTAACTATTTATAGCTAATCCGTACAACTGAATTTTGAATGTTCCTATTTTAAATTTTTTTAAAAGAAAGTGTTATATCATTAAAATCATTTTTAACGTCGAGTGCGACCATATCGAAAATATGATTCCATATTTCTCTCTAAATTTCTTGGATCATGGGTTATCATTATATAATCAGACTATTGTTCTCATATTCGTAGTTGTTATCACAATGCTTCGGCCGTTGTGTTCTCCGATCTTCGTTAGGTGTATATCGATCGAGGTAACTTACAGGGAATTCTGAACTGAACACTTTGCTTAATCTACGAGGGTTTCATTGTCCATCTCTATGAAAATTTCGTCTAATTTTTGCTGTTCCGTTATTGATCACCCGTTTCCACTGAGTCCAAATATACACTGTGATTAAATTTACAATCACCAAATTCACGAGTCAACGCTTTAATCCGATAGGCTATTGTCCCGTGGGACAATTCTCGGTGGTAAACTTGAAGCCATAAACCTGACTACAAATTAGCGCTGCTATGGCTGCCTCTCATGTTTGATTTCTGCTACTCTTGAAGACTTGCAGTCATTTATCTTTGTCTCTTTATTAGCTGCTCTCATATCTCTATACTAGGCCTACTAATGGGGTCCTCATTGCCTTTCAGACTTGAAAGTGCCCTGTCTTCTTTATTGTCTAGTATTTTTACTTCATTTCATATGGTTTTTCCCTCCATGAATCATCAGCGATGTCCGATTTCATTGTTTCATCCATCACTACAACTTTTCTCTCTTGCTCAAGCTTATATAAAAGGGGTAGAGTTCAGAATTCTCTGTAGGTTATCCAGATCTATATGCACCTGATAATACAAATAATGGTCCTGAATCTTAAGAAATAAATCAAGAAAACTCAAAAAATATTTTCGCGAAGAGTTGCTGATACTTAATTTTAATAAAATAAATCTCTGATATATTTTGTGAAAAAATTAATATATATTTTTACAGTAGGATTTTAGAATACTTTCAGATCTCGCTTGTTTCTGATAAACTTGATAAAGATTTGTTTGATGAATTAAAACCGTATCATTTTCGAGTGTGAAAATATTTTAAAATAAGTGTTTTTTTTTTCTTTCTACACCTGTTTGATTATTTTATTCTAGAGAAAATAAAAAATTAAAGCCAAACACTAAAATTCTGAATTATGTCACATGACATAAAAAATATAATGGCGCTTTTCAATGACCACCAAAAAACTATTGAAATTTTGACTAATCTACTCATATTATTGTTGTTTGTTTAATGAAAAATTGTATCTCATCGATATAAAGTAATGACAAGGAAAGAACTCAAGTAGTTGTAACTGGAAAATATTTAACCAACGTTTTCTAATATATGGGCTTCCGTTTTCTATTTAATTTTGGAGCCAATTTTTGAAAATAGAAGCATACATATGATATAAGTTTTTGAACGTCTTGACAAGTGACCACTCCCTGATGACGAAATGTGTATCTTTTGTTATAATTTTTGAAAAAAAATATTAATAAATTAATTCTTAAGTTTATTATTTTTCTTCGAAACACGTCTACGAGAGATTTTGATTTTAAAGATATTTTCAAAATGTCTGAATTTCTCTGTTGTAGGCATCCATTAAATTCCCTAATTAAACTGGTTAAAAGTTATTTTTTGTTTTTTTAATATCTAAAATCTTTACTTAAAGACGTAAAATATCTTTCCATTTTTATAGATTAAATTTAGTTTATTCTCATTCAATTAAAACTTTAAGAAGATTTGTAAATTATTTAAAAGGCGATTTTGAGAATGTCCATGAAGATAGCGACTATCTCTTTTTCTCTCTCTTTATATATATATATATATAAGTTTAAAGTATGACACCAAAGTTTTCTAAACTTAACATATTAAATGGCTCTTTTAAAGAAAAGATACAAAAGAAATTTATATTTTTTAGTGACGTGATTTCGAAACCCGTGTTCCGGAATACGCTCAATAACTTAATAAATTAACAGATAGCTCAATTTGCTCAAATTGCACGCACGCACACACACACACACACACACACACACACACACACACACACACACGAAACTATGAAAAATTATTCCGTCGAAATATACTCGTGTAGTAAATGTGGCAGTTGTCACACACTTTCTTAGCTATTTGAAAAATTGATATTTTCATTTTAACCATTATCATATGTAACTGATTTTATAATTTCACATCTAACTTTTGCTCAATTGTATGTTTGAATATTTGGTTTTGCAAAAACTTTGTGGTAGAGACAAGAAAAGAATGAAATACCAATGAATTAAATATTAGAGAAATGAATTGTATGATTATATATTACCTATGTATTATAAATCTATTGATTTCAACTTTGCTAACTGCGAAATTAATTCTTTCCATATTGTTTATTCTGTTCCGGAATAAGTGGTATCAGAGAGAAGATGCTTCTGCATGTGTTTATGTACGGAAGCGCAAAGATGTAAAATAAATACACGTTCAATGTCAATAACCCGATATTAGCAACTATTACCATATCTTGCCAAAATAAAATCAATTTTTATTTTTCAGCAATTTGTCATCTTTACGTGTAATAACGATACGTCAGATTAATTTGCCGGAAACTGTTTCAATTCATCATAGAATTGAAATAACATACCTTCAAAATTATTTTATCGAAGGAGACGACGAGATAATTTCATACATAAAAATGAGGCGACGAACTAAAAATTTCTGCATTTAATGGTAAACAGGTTTCATTTGTTTTGGCCAGATTTATTTATCCATCATCTTACAATACAAACTCATTTTTTTCATTATCTTTCAACTGTTTATTCAGTTTTAGTATCATGGAAATTCATACCTACACACACACACACACACACACACACACATATATATATATATATATATATATATATATATATATATAAATAAAAAAAATCCTCGTGTTCGAGTATACCCGGCCATTAGGGCGACTAGTCAATCCCTGATGCAGACGCTCGCTCAGGCACATTTGTTTTTGTTCAAGAACAACAGAGCCCACTGTGATTTATACTTCAACTATGCTGAGCAGACATTAGTTACAGTTTCTTGGAAAGAGCATGTTATCTAGCGTGATCAACGATCTGATCAAAGCCAGCACACTCAAACACTCGATTACCCAATTTTACTCACAAGGCTTGCTCAACCCGTGGCACTTTCCAAAGGTGCCACACGCTGGGATCATCCCTTCTAAACCGATAACATCATGATTCACCTTCTTGACAAATCAACCATGGTGAGATTCGAACCCGGGTCTCATGGTCAGTAAATGAATCTTCTAACAACAAGCGCCCATATATATATATATATATATATATATATATATATATATATATATATGATAAATATAGTATATATAGTTCTAATTTTGATAAAACAGTGCTCAATGTAACACAACAATGTTATTGTGGAGAATGTTATGTTCAGGCAGGACAAAAATATATATATAATAACAATTTAACAAATGCACTTTTCATGCACAGAAATAAATTCGACCACAATTTTGATCTAAAAAATGCCACACTCATCAACAAAGAAAGTAATTTATCCAGACGGAATAATTGGGAGAGTGTCGCCATCGAATATTATCAAAATATCAATCTACGCCCCGGCTTTTATCCCAATCTCACCTTTTCTGAAAGAATTAATACTTTCCCTAGCCAACGTATAAGGCCACAAATATGTTGAGGAATCAAAAGAAAACAGGTACATCCACCACTTTCAGTTTTTGAAGATGTACATCACATACGTTCATCTTATACCATAACAATTTAATCACAATCTAAACAATATTCATTTTTAAAAATTAAACAACTAAAAAATTATTGAATATTAATCACTCACTTTACTTTTTGCCAAACTTTGAATTATGGCACTTTGTGTCCTCCACATGTTTTGATTGAGCTTTCAACCAACTAATGAACATTCATGAACGTTTACAAATTTAAAAGCCTTGATAAACCAATGACATTCTTGCCTTTGTATATAAATACATGCAACAAATAAATCCAGCATTGCCTTGACATCAGAATTTGTTTTATGGTTACTACTTATACTCAGAGATCCCAAGGCGCATTCATTCAGAGACGGATTTGTCTTTCTTTAATTTTAATCTGCGTTAGCCAAAGACAGTTGACGTTCACGGAGAAACACGTCGTTAATAAATTTTCCGCTATGTCTCCTGATCTTCGCGTACGCACACACACACGCACACACACATACACACGGTTGGGTGTTCTGTCTGTGTGTGTGTATCAGTAGCCATAACTATAAAAGTTACAGATTTGAAATTAAACAAATTTTTCAAGTTAATATTATTGTTTTAATGTATTAAATAATTTATGTCACGTTGATTTAAAGAAAAATCTCGTATATTAATTAAATGTTTGTGACATCACGATGAATTATAATCACCACACTGTACTTTTAAAAAAAGTATTTTCCTATAGGAAATACTACTCGCCTAACTAATCAAGGATATTTAGAATAACAAGGACATAATTGAAACGCTTAGTCAGTAATATTCGAGCCAAATCTAAACGCACAGAACCCAAGCTTATGTCCAATTTTATAGAAACAAGAGACTATATAATTTTTTTTTTTTGTTGACTTTAATTAAATATATGCCAAGATATATTTTCCTATTTGGTCATTTGGTGAAATATTTGAAGTCTATCAGACCAAAATCATTTCAACATCCCTTTTTATGCTTGCGATTGTCAAAAATCAATCAGACGCGTTTGAAAAAAATCACTGTTAACACAGCACTGTTTTTTTTTTGTTTGTTTGTTTGT